TATTCGTCCATTTGATCAAAATCCCATTGTACTCTGGGGTAACCTTCTTCGCTGTCCACTACACCTCCAGTTTTGGTGTCAGCTGCAAACTCACTGACCATACCTCCTACGTTCACCAACAGGTAACTCCGCTGTTGACCTGGCCAGAGAATGCAGTATAAATAGAAGGCTGTTCAATTTAAATACAGCCTATGGACAATTGTGGTAGAATCGTAAAGAAGTGAAGACAGTAGACATTCACAGTGCTTGAGGATATGCCAAAAGCACTGGCCAGACAGAGCAAATAGAAAAACTGATCACCCTCTTTTTAAAGGGACTGAGAAAATAAACTTTTAGCAATTCAATCAGGTCCCAAACATGCATCCATAGGTAGATCCCACATCTGCTGTGTTGTAAGCCAAACCACTCACCCAGAATACCAGCGTAGTCACCAGGGCCAGAAGAACATAGGCTGGATGTCCTTTCACATTGTCCAAATCCCTTCTGATTGAGCATATAAAAGTTCTGCCCCAACAAACCTTTGTAGAAAGTGACAGTGGGGGCTGATATCTGGCATATTTGTGGTCTTAATTTACTTCCTGAACAGAAATGTAATAAAATTGTTGATGCTGAAATCGGCGGAAATGCTCAGCAGGTCAGTGGTGAATCAGAATTAATGTTTCTGGTCACTGACCTACGGTCAGACATGGAAAAAAAAAGTGAGAGATGTAATACACAAATGCATAGTCTGAGAAAGGGTGCAGGTGAGAGAACAAAAGGCAAGGTCTGTATTAGGATGTAAAGCAGAAGAGATGAAGTGGTAAACTGGATGATGGTGCAGGGCAAAAGGAGTAGGTAATTAGACAAGTAAAGAAACAAGAGATGGCACTAGAGAATAGAATGAGAATAGTAGAATCATCATCAACAGATGCCTCCACACAAACGCCTTTGGCTAGGAGTCTACCCAAATGGCACAGTAAACATTTTCTCCCCCCTCCTCCAGAATTCCAATATCACTTGGACAGCTCCCTGTCGCCTCCTATCTGAACCTTTTTGTTTAAAAATTGCTGGCATGACATTGGCCATCTCTGCTCCTTTCACTCACTTAGCCTACTTCTCCTTGAAACTGCAGCACTCCATTCTTACAGGTCTAGCTTAACGTTGTCATTAAACTTACTGAGAAATACGTTCAGTTTGCAAACAATGTTTACCTATTCAAGGCTAAGTGTCAACTCTCTCATGTTTTCTTTTACCTCCATGGACCATTACCCCACTACTAAACATCAATTACTTTTAGGACAGTCAGTGACACCAGCTCCTCTGAAGATCTTCTCTCCAGGGCCTCCAATCTCATAGTCCTCAACAATACGCAGCATGCTTCCATCACCTTCCCAAAAAGTATGGACAGGACTGCCACGGTAGACCCCATCATTTAAGTTAGTTTGTAGCCCAGAAAACAGATTTTTTTTTTCTATCTCAACAAAATTTTGGTTTTCCTTGTCAAGTTTCTTACCAACCATAGCTGTAACTCTTCCAATGCCTCCAGCATTTTAACAGTTTTTAGTTTCCTGAATCCCAACAATTTCCTTCTCCTCATGGACAACCAATATGACTACATGTCCATATCCCATCAGGATGGCTTGAGGGCTCCCTGCTTCTTACTTAAGCATATATTTTGTCCATCATCATCTGGCTTAACCTGCTTTCATATTTAATAATTTCCATTTTGATTCTGCAAACTCCCTTCAAGTAAACAATGTCCCACAGGAACCTGTCTGGGTCCTAACTATGCCTAACTCTTTGTGGAATATTGGAATATTGATTGTTCTCAGTTCTCCTATCCACCTCATTTTCTGTTTTTTTTTGATGAATATATATCTGCGCTGTTTCCTGGATATGCTCTGAATTGGAAAATTTTAAAAACTTTGTTTCTGATTTCTGCCCTTCTCTTAACTTGCTTTCATGTGATCCATTTCAGACCTTTTCTTTATTTCCTCACCTTTTTCTGTCTATATTTCTGGGACTGGGTTATCGACAAATAGCCATTATAAACCCATCAATTCCTGTAGTTACCTCTCTACACTTCCTCTAACTTCTTTTTGTGTGAGGACTTGAGTCCATTCTCCCAGTTCCTTTGTCTCCACCACATCTATTCAAACAATGCCACCTTCCAAATAAATGCTCCAATTACATCTTTCTTTATCCCCAACTAAGGAATCATCTCCCCACCCCGTTCACCCTGCATTGTAGTTGTAAAGAGCCCCAAATATGCCTATCAATTTCTCACACTTCTACTTCCAGCGCATCTCACTACCCAAGAGTTTTCTTGGTCCACCCCTTCCACCTTTCGTCTAGACCATCCGCGTCACCCATGTCCAGCATAAGAGCCTATCACTCCTTTCAGCATTATAACAGGGGTGTTTCATCTGTGAACCCTCACTCATACCTCAATCAACAATTCATCCTTACCCACGGCCCCTTGCTATTGAAGCACAGGAAATGCAATAATAACTTTTTACTTCATTCCTGCTTATTGTTAAGGGTCAAAACACACTTTCCAGATGAAATAGCAATCTACATGCCCTTCTTCCAATTTATACTGTGTTTGCAGATCATCATGCAGTTTCCTTTCACATCGGGAAGACCAAGTGCCTAATGGAAGACGTCCTTGCGGAGCACACTGCTTAGTTTTTAAAGGTGATACCGAGCTTCTAGTCACCTATCATTTTAATTTTGCAGCCCACTCCAACTCTGGCCCTGTATCTTTGACATCTTGTACTGTTCCAATAAATTTTAATGTGAGCTCAAGGAACAGGACCTTATCTTCCATTTAGGCATTTTACCACCTTCCACACTCAATATTATAGAACATAGAACATAGAACATTACAGCGCAGTACAGGCCCTTCGGCCCTCGATGTTGCGCCGACCTGTGAAACCAATCTGAAGCCCATCTAACCTAAACTATTCCATTATCATCCATATTGTTTATCCAATATTGAGTTCAAGAATTTTAGATCATAGTCTCTGTCCTCAGTTTCACAGTTAGCAATTATTGATAGTGATATTTCCATTTATGCTTGTTCTGTACACATCTCTTGATTCTTGTTCCATTATCACCTCCTTTTACATTAATCATATAATCGCACATGCCTTCCACCCCATCACATAGAGCCCCTTACATTCTCTACCCCAAACAGCACACACTCCCTCTAAAGATTCTGTTCTTACTGTGAACCTCCCTTTCTATATCCATTGAAGCTGTGTAGCCAGCATTTTATACTTTTCCTTTTTTTTATTTCTATTTCTTAGGTGCACTGATGTACTATCAACTTATTTAATGGTAGCAGTGTACCTGAAGGAATGTGGAGATTTGGAACGACAATGTTCAATTTCTGTTCATGTAATCTCTCTTCCTAAACAATCTGTCTATTCAAGGCTTGAATCTATCATAATTACCTCATTTGTTACAGCAGAATCGGCCCCATTTTTCAGCAGCAGGTGGACCAGGTTTTCATGACTATTAAGCACTGCAACCTACAGTTTTTTAAACAGTAAATAAAGAATGTTATGAACCATCAATTGTCACTGTGAAACTGCAAAGGAATGGTTAAGACTAATATGATTGACCTAACCAGATCAGAACATGACCAAGTTGAGGAATGACATGACATGTCAGTCTAGGTGTGCACCACAGTAGTAAGAGCTCAAATTTGAAGAAACAAAAGTGGATATTTAACCTGGAAAGTGGCAAGGATAGAGGATTATGAAGGTTTGAGCATCAAAACTGGGGTAGTTGAGCAGAAGAGAGAGTTGGAAGTTAGGATAGATGCTGACCATTGAGCTCTGGATAGCTTTCTCTGCAAATAGATTGAGATTAAAGAGTTTGGGACATTCAGGAAAGCGGTGTTGAGGACAATAGCAGAAATAAAACAAAGAACTGTGGATGCTGGAGATCTGAAATGAAAACAGAAATTGCTGGAGAAACTTGGCAGGTCTGGCAGCATCTGTGGAGAGAAAACAGAGTTAACATTTCAAGTCCAAAGTCCCTTCCTCAAAGGAGGTATTGGTAATTCAGATGAAGGTCAAAACGCTGAGTCTGAGGAATAATTCAGTACAAAGATTAAACAAGGAAAATGGAGGTGATTTTGGAAGGAGAGTCACAAAGGGACTTTGGGAGGTGAGACATTTTAATACTGCACACAATAATCCAGTTAAATCTATTATTTCCACATCACAGGCAGAGAGAAAGTAGAATGTTTGAAAGTCCATTATGCAGGCCAATTTTTCTAGACTTTTCAAAATTGTAGTTGGAGCAATTAGTTTTTAATCATTTTATAGCAATTACTTACAGAAGCAAAGAATAGTACAAGTAGAAACCAAAGCTCCCAAGAATCTAAAAGAATGATCTTGCTATATAAGCTATTAATTGTGAATTCCTCAACCAATTTTCAAATTGGTTACATGTGTTTGATTTACACTCATCTTATACAAATGTCCAAATGGGTCTGAGAGATGTGTAAATCCTGCTCATAGTGAGAAATACAATTGGTATCGTTGAAACATGAATGTGATTTGTTGGCAATAAGATTAAACTTATGGTTCTTTTTCATTAGACTCAGTGGAGCACTCTTTTGTGTCTCTAGGGCATTGAGCCATTGATTGTGGTATGCTCCACTATCAATTCCCTCACAGTAATCATGCCTTGTTGATAATGTGGTTACTCATCAAATATGTTAAAAGCTGCAACCCAGATTAACATGGTATTCATGCGTACAAATGTTCACACGATTGCAAATTATTTATGGTTGAAGAGGAGCATTCAGGCCATCATAATGAATCCATTCTCAATGTTGTTCTATTTGAAATGATTTCAATGTGTTCTGCAGGAAGACATCTTTACTCCTGTCATGAAGGACAACATAATACCATTTGCCTTCCTAATTGCTTGCTGCATCTTTTAGTCCCACGAACAAGGATACCCATGTCACTTTGGACACAAGCACTTCCCAACGTCTCTCAATTTAAGAAATATTTTGCCATTCTGTTTATTCTACCAATGTGAATAACTTAATATTATAGACCACCTACCAAGTTTTAGCCCGTTCATTTATGCTATCTAAGACCTCTTGAAGCCTCTTAGCTTCTACCTCAAAACTTATGTTCCTAACCAGTTTGGGTCATCAGCAAATTTGGAAATAATGCATTGGTTCCTACAACCAAATCCTTTATGTAGATTGTGAATAACTCTCTGTTGTTTATTCCTACTCTCTGTTTTGTGTCCATTAACCAATTCTCAGTTCACAACAGTATATATTTCTCCTTTTAACCAAACACATCTGTTCTGAAACTTGCAAATTAAACTCCTTACACTGAGGTAACCTATTTCTAACTGTTCAAAACTATCTCTCTTCTTCAGGAGAAACTGTTTTACATATCTAGCTTCAACCACAACTTCTGCAAACTGAAACTAAAAGATTACTTCAAGCTATGGGTGTTTCCCCAAGCCAAAAAAAGGCAACTCCAGATCCTAATTAACTATTGCTTTCTCTGTTCACTTGTGAAACTTTCCCAATGTAAACAAATTCCCATTAGTCATCAAGAACTAACTCAATGTTTTTTTTAAATAAATCAGCATGGTTAGGTAGATATTTGCAATTTAATCATTCACCTGCATAGACACAGACCAAACTGACATACCACTAGTTCAAAATCCAACTTCTAATATTACTATTAAAATTTATTTTAATCATTGCCCTTGCATTTCAGTGTATTATATTACAACTTAATTTTGATCGGTATTCCTTTACAATTTAAGGATGTCTGGGCCAACAAAGTAGTATAAGGTGTACGTCAGTAAAGAGCTGAAATGCCTACCATTAGTGGTGTTGTTCCTTTCTTGTCTTGGATATTCACATTTGCACCAGCTTTAATTAAAAGAGAAGCAACTTCAGTGCTGCCATTCAGGACGGCAACTCGCATTAATGGTGTCCACAGTAAATGTCCATCAGTGATGTCAACCTGTTCACAATTGACAAAAGAAAACCAGAGAAATATGTACATCATGTTAAAATACCTAAGGTAACTTCATTAGGAAATACAGTCAGTGCTGACTAGTGGACAGAAAGAAAAAGAAATCCATCATGTTGCATAAATCCAGCTTCCCTTTTATTATTTTTTGGGGGAAGTTAACTTCCTGAATCACATATGATAATTCTCTGCCAACTACTAAGATTTTGCCTTTGTCATGTTAGCACATCCTGAACTACCCCATAAGACAAGAACCTGGAGCAAGAATTTCACCACATGAAATCAAAGCTGTTAAATGATGGTACTGCTACTTCAATATGCTATGTAATGAACTTGTCATTTTAATATAGTCATTAAAACTAATCTTAGACAATTAAAACAAACAACAGAAACCTTTAACATTTGAATCAGCCATTCATCAAACTTTGTCCTCAGCTCAAATTGAATGCACACCAATATTATATTCTCAGGGTGAGATTTTATTTAACAGGGATGGGGAGTTTGGGAGCATTTATTGGGTTATAGCTCCAAAAAATGATGGCATGTGAGGAATCCAGAATGTTCCGATTCATTTCCTCATTGCACAGGGAACTGGAAATCTGCTTGTAGCTATTATGTCAGACACTTAAATATACTAGGTAGCTATTAACTGACAATTTATCTCACAATCTGGCTTCAGTAACCAGCTTACAGGTTTCTTGAGCCATGTGGATCTCAATTGGGGTCACTACACAAGAGCACAGTGGGACATCATACAGCATTGAAACTTTCACACTGGTAAAACCCAGTAGCTGCGGCCGTGCCTATGGAAAAGACTTGTATCCTTACTTGGAAACAGACCTGTTGGTCAAACTTGTCCAGGCTGACCAGATATCCTGAATTAATCTAGTTCCATTTGTCAGCATTTGGCCCATATCCCTCTAAACCCTCCCTGTTCATGTACCCATCCAGATGCCTTTTAAATGTTGTAATTGTACCAGCCTGTACCAGCCTCCACTACTTTCTCTGGCAGCTCATTCCATACATGCAACACCCTCTGCATGAAAAAGTTGCCCCTTAGGTCCCTTTTAAATCTTGTCCCTCTCACCTTAAACCTATGCATTCTAGTTTTGGACTCCCCTACCCTGAGAAGACGACTTTGGCAATTCAACCTGTCCATGCCCCTCATGATTTTACAAACCTCTATAAAGTCACCCCTCAACCTCCGACGCTCCAGGGAAAATAGCCCCAGCGTATTCAGCCTCTCCTTATAGCTTAAACCCTCCAAACCTCACTTTTGAAAAGAAACAAAAAGTGCAGTAACGCTAACACAAGCAGCAATGGTGGCAGCAACAACAGGTGCCCTTCTGGTTGCCACGTCGCTCAACACAGCTGAAGCTGAAAGGAGGTCATACCTCAAAACAATGTCGACAAATTGACAATCAGCTCCCTGAAAATGAAGCCTCTACGCTTTGTGACTTGTCATTGCTGACTACTGCTGATTTTTAGAACAATACCCCTCTCCATGACAGCTGGGTGGATGCGCACTGCTAATAGCTGTTAAGGCCACAACAGTCCTGAACTTCTACACTTCCAATTCCTTCCAGGCATCTGTGGGGGAACATCTGTAGGATTTCAGAATCTACAGTATACAAGTCCATATCCCAGTTCAAAGATAAATTGGTTGCGATGTCACCAGGTCAATGACCCAGTCAAACATACAGGCTCTGGCCTGTGGGGCAGTGGCTGGATTTTCACAGGATTAGAGTGTCAGAATATACACAAGTGATAATTGAGATACTCTTGGATCATTCTGGAACATTCAACAACCTGAAAGGATTCCACTCCATTAATGTCAGGCTACTATGTACTCTGTACCACCAAATGGATGTGGCATGTGTTTCCTTCAGACAAGGGCTTCGAGGACACAGATAATTATGTCTCAAAGGAGCTCTGCTAATGATGCAGAACAAGAATATCAGGGGCCACATCATCACATGGACAATCACTGAGCAAGCACTGGTTTGATGTGAGATTTGGTTGCCTTGAGAGATTTGAGAGTACTCTTCCAAATGTTCCAGCAAGGGCATTTAGAATGATGATGTTCTGCTTTACCTTGCACAGTTCAAAACCCTTTGAACTTTGATAATCTTTTCATTTTCCTTCATATTTAACATTCAATTTCTATGCTCTCTTTATCGATTATTTGTCCTCTTTACTGAATTCTAAATGTGTCTGAATCCTCAGGCTTACGATTCTTCTGGCACATTTACAAGCCTTCTCCTTTGATCAATCTTTAATTTTTGACCTGTGGTGTGAAGCAGGATCTAGGTCTGTTTTCAGATCAGAAAACTACCTCCAGTGGAAAGCTTATTATATAGATAAACTTCTGGTTGCAAATTGTCCCAAGTGACAGAGTTTGAGTCAGATTTGTGCAATCAAGGCAGGTACTGCAAATTTCCAGGACACGTGGTCTAAAGGCCGTGAATTTTTTTATCACACTCTCAATAAGGGAATTGCAGATTCTGTTGAGCCCACTGATCCCAGAAACCATGTGTAGATAGTCAGGGGAGGGAGCCAAATGCCAAAGCAAGCTAATTAGAAACCTGCATCTTCTCTCTGGCACTTTATCTCAGTTGCATTATTTAAGTATTCTACATGCTCTTGCCCTTATTCCCCACACCCCTTCAATCCTCCCACCATTCTCTATGGCACCTCAATGTCAAAAACCCTGTCCATGCTCTTCAAGCCACCATGCTAATCATGCTAACATGTCCTTCATTAGTGTCCAGTGACATCTCATGCAATTTCATGGCCTTGCCATGCCCATTCACCTAATATACACCATACACAGAATCAATTAGTCATATGATTGACATCCACAATGATGTGTAGAACTGATTAAGGAAAAAAGGAACTCCCTACCTACGTCTGTGACACCACCCACACCCTCCAAAACTTCCAATTCCCTGGTCCCCAACACCTCATCTTTACCATAGACGTCCAGTCCCTATACACCCGCATTCCCCATGCAGATGGCCTAAAGGCGCTCCACTTCTTCCTGTCCTGCAGGCCCGACCAGTCCCCCTCCACTGACACCCTCATCCACTTAGCCGAACTCGTCCTCACCCTCAACAACTTCTCTTTCAATTCCTCCCACTTCCCACAGACAAAGGGGGTGGCCATGGGTACCCGCATGGGCCCAAGCTATGCCTGCCTCTTTGTAGGTTACGTGGAACAATCCCTCTTCCATAGCTACACTGGTCCTAAACCCCACCTCTTCCTCCGTTACATTGATGACTATATCGGCGCCGCCTCGTGCTCCCACGAGGATCTCGAACAGTTCATCCACTTCACCAACACCTTCCACCCCAACCTTAAGTTCACCTGGACCATCTCTGATACCTCTCTCTCCTTCCTGGACCTCTCTGTTTCCATCTCTGGCAACCACCTGGAAACCGATATCCATTTCAAGCCCATCGACTCCCACAGCTACTTAGAATACACCTCCTCCCACCCACCTTCCTGCAAAAATGCCATCCCCTATTCCCAATTCCTTCGCCTCCGCCACATCTGCTCCCAGGATGAGGCATTCCACTCCCGAACATCTCAGATGTCCTTGTTTTTCAAGGACCGCAACATCCCCCCCTCAGTGGTCAAGAACGCCCTCGACCGTGTCTCCCGCATTTCCCGCAATTCATCCCTCACACCCCTTCCCTGCAATAACAACCAAAACAGAATCCCCCTCGTCCTCACGTACCACCCCACCAACCTCTGGATCCAACGCATCATTCTCCAACACTTCCGCCATCTGCAATCCGACCCCGCCACCAAAGACATTTTTCCCTCCCCACCCTTATCTGCTTTCCGGAGGGACCACTCTCTCTGGGACTCCCTTGTCCACTCCACAGTCCCCTCCAGCCCCACCACACCCGGCACTTTTCCCTGAAACCGCAGGAAGTGCTACACCTGCCCCTACACCTCCCCCCTCACCCCCATCCCAGGCCCCAAGAAGACTTTCCACATCAAGGTGATGTTCACCTGCACATCTGCTAATGTGGTATACTGTATCCGCTGTTCCCATTGTGGCCTCCTCTACATCGGGGAAACCAAGCGGAGGCTTGGGGACCGCTTTGCGGAACACCTACTCTCGGTTCGCACTAAACAACTGCACCTCCCAGTCGCGAACCATTTCAACTCCCCCTCCCATTCCTCAGATGACATGTCCATCCTGGGTCTCCTGCAGTGCCACAACGATGCCACCTGAAGGTTGCAGGAACAACACCTCATATTTCACTTGGGAACCCTGCAGCCCAATGGTATCAATGTGGACTTCGCAAGCTTCAAAGTCTCCCCTCCCCCTACCGCATCCCAAAACCAGCCCAGCTTGTCCCCACCTCCCTAACCTGTCCTTCCTCCCACCTATCCCCTCCTCCCACCTCAAACCCCATCCCCATCTCCTACCTAGTAGCCTCATCCTGCCCCCTTGACCTGTCCGTCCTCCTTGGACTGACCTATCCCCTCCCTAACTCCCTACCTACACTCACTTTTACTGGCTCCAACCCCACCTGTTTGACCTGTCTGTCTCCTCTCCACCTATCTTCTCCTCTTTCCAGCTTCTATCCACCTCCCCCTCTCTCCCTATTTATTTCAGAACCCTCTTCCCCTCCCCCATTTCTGAAGGAGGGTCTAGGCCCAAAACGTCAGCCTTCCTGCTCCCCTGATGCTGCTTGGCCTGCTGTGTTCATCCAGCTCTATACCTTGTTATCTCAGATTCTCCAGCATCTGCAGTTCCTACTATATCTCACTCACAAATCTTCTTTTAGGAAAGAATCTGCTATTTCTATAACATTAGTCCTCGCTTGACTTCAGCTGGTCTGTGAGGGGCAGCTCCTACACACTGACCACATCTAGCATTCAAAAGATTGCTGATGTCAAGAAGAGATAGTAAGAACTGCCGATGTTGGAGTCAGAGATAACACAGTGTGGAGCTGGAGGAACACAGCAGGCCAAGCAGCATCAGAGGAGCAGGAAAGCTGACATTTCGGGTCAGAACCCTTGGAAGAGGTTGGATTTGTTGGTAAGAGACTTGGGATTCTTGACATCTTCCGGCATTTGCAACAATGATGCTCAGCATCATGGCAATCTGTTGAACCACAGTGTCAGGATTCTTCACCGACAAAATGCCTCCCTTTGATCAGTGAAAACCACCTTCATGCTTTCTTAGTTAGTCAGCTTCGATGACACCTTTAAGATTTTCTATGAGAACTGCCACATTTCAAGAAATATGCATGTGCTGAGCAAATTAGTATTTTTAATTGTTCCATTTGCTTAACCATTATAAAGCTAGTCAGCTGATTAATTTACACACCTTACAACCTTCATTTATCATCCATTCAATCACATTCAGGTGTCTCCCATCTGTAGCCCAGTGCATGGCAGATGAACCCCCATTGTCTCGGGATTCCCATGTAGCTCCAAATCTCCGAAGACATTTAGCAACATCCAGGTGCCCAGCAAAA